GGATTCGAATCGAACACGGAGAAGAAAACCCGGATCTTGGGGAAAATAATATGAACCCGAACCGAACCCTATTTATAAAATTTACAAAACCCCGAACCGAACCCGGGAATTTTATTTGAACCCGGGTTCAATGTATTGTTTATAATCATATATTAAGATATTTGTATAATTGTAAATACAAATATTAATAATTTAACTGAGATTTTATAATATTTTTAAATTTCCAATTAAAAAAGTGTTAATAAATTTTAAACAACTTAATTCATTTACGCCATTTTAAAATTTTTTTTAAATTTACTATCAAAGATTCCTATTGGAGTATTAATAAATTTTAAACAATTAAATTCATTTACGCCATTTATTTTTAATTTATTCTCAAGGATTATTAGTTAGAGGAAAATGAAAGTGAACAAGTCAAAGTAAAAATTATTATATTGGATATTGTTAATTTAAAAAAATACGTCTAAATAAAATCTAAAATTGATACATGACTATACTTTGTATTTTAACTATATTTTGCCTATAAATAGAATAAAAATTAATTTTTTATACCAAATTTATGTCTAGTTTTTTAATTATGATTTTGATATAGATTTTTTTTTTACCAATTCAAAAATTCTTAAACCCGAGCAGAACTCGGAATCCACGGGTTGAAAAATATTTCCCTGAACCGAACCCGCCGAACCCAGGCAAAATTTTGACGGGTTTACGTACCTGAATAAAACATAATTTATAAAATAAATTATAATTTTAGAGAATAAGAATTAACATATTTTGATTTATTCAATATTAATTAGATTAACAATCTTGACTGAAAATTTTAAATAAAAATAAATAATCTGGTGGTTATTCTGACTTAAAAACTCTGAATTATTTATGAATAGTGAAGACTGAAACCGAAGACGGACCGATCTTTTAAAAGTACCAGAGTCCGGACCGGTCTTTTCCAGAGTTTCCAAAAGGTTCAATGAAAAATGGAAAAAGGTCAATCATAAAAGGAAAAAGTTCAATCAAAAAAGGAAAAGGTCCAAACAAAAAAGGAAAAGTGTCAATCAAAAAAGAAAAAGTCCCAAAGGTATAGGAAAAAGTCCGATCAAAAGGAAAAGTGTCAAACAAAAAAGGAAAAGTGTCAAACAAAAAAGGAAAAGGTTCAATCAAAAAAGGAAAAGTGTCAAACAAAAAAGGAAAATGTCTAATCAAAAAAGGAAAATTGTCAATCGAAAAGGAAAATTCCCAAAAGGAAAGGAAAAGTGTCAATCAAAAAAAGAAAATCGTAATTTCCTTAAATTTTTCTTTATTTTTGTTATTCCTTCTTAATTTATTTCTAAATTTTTGCGATTTCTTTATGTTTTTTTTCTTACTGTATCTTTTATCAATTTATTTTTCTTCTCATTTTTGATAACTCTTTTGTATTTTTAAAAATAATTTATAAATTTAGGTCCATTTTTTAACAATTCTTTACGTTTTTTTATCATCATACATACAATATTCTTTTTATGATTTTATCATTGTAATCTTTTACATACATTTCTAACCTTTTCAATCTCTTTAAGTCATTTTTAATCTTTATTTTTTTTCTTCTCATTTTTGATAATTTTAAAAATAAGAATTTAAAAATGATTATATTTTATTGCAATAGGAAAAAAAATTCCCGGAAAAAAACCCTATGGAAAAAAAATTCGAAAAAAAAGCAAATCGTTATTTTTCAAAAATTTTTTCTTTTCAATTTTTCTTAAATTTTTTTCTACTTATATTTTTCTTCCCATTTTTGCTTTAAGTCATTGTTAATCTTTATTTTTCTGATCTTTTCTCATTTTTTTAATTCTCAATTTTCGCTTAATTTTTTTAGTATAACCTAGCAATAATTAATATTGATAAATAATTTTATAAGCGAATGCCACAATCATTAACAACTATTATTAATCTCAAAAAAAACACAAAATACTTACGAAAAATATTCGAAGTAATAATGTCTAAATGTCAAGAACGAGATTTATTTCCTGATCCATTATATATATACATGGTTTTGAAAAGTCTGCTATGAGCGCGGTTAAAACTGTCATTACATCAATGGAGTATCAATGGAGGTCACAAGAAGCAATTCTCAATCCCAGACACGTCGAATTGGGTCTCGATCCTCCAGAAACTTGGAACGTGAATGAGAGCACTCTATCCGATGAAGAATGCACGTTTAATCAATGCGAAGGTTGGAATCATCGTTTATCTAATCTGGTTGGGAATAAACACCCATCAATCTGGGTATTGATTAAAATGATGAAATGCGAGGTGGCTGCCAATGAAACCAAACTTAAACGATGGTGTGTAGGTAGTTAGACACTGAAAACAAAATCGCAGAGTTACAATACCCAGATTCGGCTAAAGAAACTTTGCGAGGAATACCGTGATGGGGTGCAAAGCTATCCAGATTTTATGAAGGAGATTTCCTTCAATATTCTATGTCAACCCATATAATTATTATTCTAAATTATTAAATTTGTATATAAATTAATTAAATTATATATTTTTCTAAAATACTAATTTGTCTATACCTTATTAAATCCAAATAAAAATATACCGATATTATAAGGTCTTAAGTAAATTCGAAAAAAAATTTAGGGTTTTTTTTTTCCGGGATTCATATATTATTAATTTACATATCGTTTGGTATTACAGTTTATAATTATTTAATTTTTAAAAGGTACATTATAACCAAACGATTAATTTAATTTAGCAATCGCAATTAAATACAATAATCATTCTTAAATTTTATTTTTAAAATTATCCAAAATGAGAAGAAAAAAATTGAGAAAAGGTCGAAAAAATAAAGAGATTGAAAAGGTTAAAAATGTATGTAAAAGATTACAATGAAAAAATCATAGAAAGTAGTATGTATGATAAAAAAACGTAAAAAATTGTTTAAAAAATGGACCTAAATTTAAATTATTTTTAAAAATACAAAAGAATTATCAAAAATGAGAAGAAGAAAAATTGAGAAAAGATATAGTAAGAAAAATAAATTGAGAAAAGATACAAATAAAGTAAAGAAATCGCAAAAATTAGAAATAAAATAAGAAGGAATGACAAAAATAAATAAAAATTGATAATTTTTTTTTAAAAAAATTATTATTTTCCTTTTTTGAATGGGAATTTTCCTTTTTCGATTGGTTTCCTTTTTTGTTTGACACTTTTCCTTTTTTGATTGAACCTTTACCTTTTTTGTTTGACACTTTTCCTTTTTAGATCGGACTGTTTCCTTTCTTTTTGGGAATTTTCCTTTTTTGATTGACACTTTTCCTTTATTGTTTAGGCCTTTTCCTTTTTTGATTGAACCTTTTCCTTTTATGATTGACCCTCTTTTTTGATCGGACCTTTTCCTTTTATGATTGAATTTTTGATTGGGACTTTTACTTTTTCCAATGGGAAACCCTGTATTAATATTTAAGTTTGCTTTATTATTCAATTAATATTACCTTTTTATATATTTTAGGTTATTTTTTTAGAGGAGTTATTTTAGTTTTTGCGAATTTTTAGTTCATTATTATTTTGCCATATGAAAACCATAAGAAAGTATTTTACTTATAGTCCCGATAAACAAGAATTAAATTAGGTAAGAAAGAAAATATTTTTAAAATACCAAAAAAAATAAATAGACCATGGTCTGTATTAATCTTTTTTAGTCTGGACCAAAAACAAACAGTGACCTTACCTATTTGTAAAATTAGAAAAATAATTTTGTAACACAATAAAATATATTTTTTAAGAAAAAATTTAAAGCAACGAGTAACTCAAAAAAAAAGAAACGCGTTACCGTTACCTCTAGAAGAAGGTAACGAATGACCTTCCTTTTCTTCAAAAAGAAAACGCCATTAGTAACCACATTACTTTACAGTACTAGTATTTAGATGACTTTTTAACTATACCTTTACAAGGTATTGAAATCGATACAAATTTTAAAAGGGCCGACGATAGATAACCATGCATTTTCCCCAAGTGTTAGATACGATAGATAAAATCATTGATATATTTTGGCAACTAAATATAACAAATGCATATGCATCTATATTAAAAATAGCAATACACATTATATAGAATATTTATAAATTAGCTTCCTTACTAAATATTATTTGATTTTAACAAAATATTTCAAATTTTATATTAAGGAGACATCCCCTCCTATCAGTAAAACACTTTCGACTACGCTAACTAAGCGTTTAACTGATGGGCGGGAAGGAAGTTTGTATGTATTTAATAATTTTTTAATATTAAAACTAAAAAAAACTATCTTTTAAAAATTATTTAAGATAAAATGTAATATAACTTCCGATCGAATAATAATTAAAATAAAATTATTTTTAGAGGTTGTAAAAAATTGGGATAGGTTCTAAATCGCTAAAATGGAAGAAATATAATCCAAAATCCCAGTTGGGAATTTGGATTATATTTCTTCCATTTTAACGATTTTTTTTAAATTTTCAATTTAAATACAAGTATTTAATCCCCTAGTATCTATTAATATTAATTTCAAATTTACTTTAAAAATTTTTTAGGAGATATAAGCCATGTTCCCAATTTTTAGCGATTTAGAACGGGAACCAAAAAATTATGTGTAATTAAATATTTTTCAAATTTCTAAATTTTTATATTAAATTAGAGAATTAATTATGAAATATATATGATAAAATGTTAAATAATCCGAATTAATTTAATCAAATATACAATTCAAATATTTTTTATGGAAATTAAGTATTTTTTTTATTGAAATATAGGAAATTAGCTATTATAAGAAAAAAGGTATTGATGACCAAGATATAGATATAATAAAATTTCAAAAGTATCGTAGTACCGTTCAATACACAAAAATTTATTGGCTAAATTATCATCAATATAATAAAGTGATACACAACTTTGGTATTTAATAATAAATAACTAATATAGTTATTCATTACATAAAAATAATTATTATATATAAATCAAAAAATTAGAGATTTAACTAAGGCTTTATTTCAGATACTTTTTATAATATAATAAACTTAGGTAAAGTTATATAAACTAAATATTTATATTGGCAATATAGTTGTAAATATTAAATATGTACAATAAGGTGCACATTTTAATCCACCCCTTCTAAAATTTCAGTTTGATAGTCAGGTTTTGATAAATAACCATTATAAAAATCAAAGGCAGTCATTTTAGTGCCCCTGTATTTGACATCTTTAAAGCCTATCCATTTCCAGTTTATGTTAGAATTTTGATTGTTTGATTGGTATGAAGCAATGAAGATGGAATTGAATTGATAGCTATAAAATAAAGCACCTGGCAATGGTTTATCTCTAGTGATTTGGTCACAATCCACATGTAAGCTTTGGCTCTGTGAATTTAAGCTGGTAATGTTGGATAATTTCTTTAGTATAAGGTGTTTTGAATATAGTTGATCAAGCAAAAAAATATCGTGATTTTCTTTAAATTGGCATAGTAAAAAAGGGTTCAATAGTTTGACAATATGCCCCATAAATTTAGACCTCAAGCCATTATATTGTATTCCAAGGATATAATATAATTTAATTAGCTGTAAAGGATTTGTATTAGCCCAATTCACATTTAACAACTTTATCCAATCCAATTTGGGGGCATAGGTTGGTCCATCTATAATAAAAGTGCTATTATTTTTATCTGGATTTATAAAAGGTGAGATTTTATATTTTAAATCTAATATGGTTGGACATGACTGTGGCCTCAAATTCAAATGAGTGGAAGGATTTAATAAAAATGGCCAAGATTCTTTCAAGATGTTTGCAGAAAATTGGGCAATTCTATCAATTAAAATGTTCAAAATCCCTGATTTATTCTCAATATTTTTATATTCATATAAATCTGATATTTTAATCCAGTCTCTAGCTAAAATAGGCCCAGTGTCATAACTATTATTTTCACCTTTTTCAGTTGGTAAAATTTTGAAAATTGTACTACCTGTATAAAGATCCTCATTCAAGAGTGTGTGATACAATGGACAAGGACCTCTGTATTTAGGTAATAAACTTGGATGTATATTATATACACCTAATGGAAATGCTTTAATTACACTATTAGACAAAAATTTCCCAAAAGATGCAACAAATGCTATATCATATTTATTCTTTAATTCTTTCATCATATTTGATTCATCAGAATAGTATAATAAAGGTGGCCATATATTTAAATTAATTTTAAAAGGGATACATATATTATAATCATTGCTGTTATGTAAATGTTTAAAATAGTAAGATGCCAATGGACTAGATAAAATTAAACTTTCACATTTGTATTCTTGAAAATTAACAGTTGGAACTTTTAAGTTATAATTTTTGGGTGGTGCTAGGCATATATCAAGTTGCTCAATAGAATTATATACTTCTAAATTTATAAGATTTTTTTCTGGATATTTGTGATTAATTTCAATAAAATATTTTAAGAAGCTTACTGAAAAGTGATCAGATCCAAAAAATAAAATTCTAATTTGTTTAGTATGAACATAGCATTTAAAATATTTATTACTGTGAAATTGAAATTTTAATAATTTCATTAAGTGTTCAAATTAAATTTTATGATTTTTTTGGTTCATTAAATAAAGAGCTAAAGGGAGGAATATCACAGTTAGTTATATTTGGGTTCAATAGTAAACGTTTATGAGTCAATCCTAGATAACTTATTCCATTAACCGTATCAGTTGATTTATTTATATTCCCATGAGTACTAGTTTTAGATATATTTTTGTGTTCCAAAATTATAAATGTTCCAAAAGAATTTTTATATTTTCCAAGATATTCCTCATATATTGTTTTCTCTTCATTAGAAAGGGATTTCTTCTTTGGAAATAAAAATAAAGGATTATCTGTTTCAAAATTTTTTATAATTGGTGTTATAGCATTATCAATTTTAATTTTATCATGATATATGTGATTAAACTCGGATGGAAATTCTAATAATGTATAACTTTCTCCGTACTCTGAATCAGTCTCCCAAATATCATTTTCTTTGCTATTATCCAGATTTAATTTTTTAAGGTAAGATGAAAAAGCATTAGATATTATCACATTTCGGAAAATACTTTGAAACAACCGTGAAAATAATAATAATGAAATGTAGATAAGTGTGAGTTCTCAATAATTTTATTTGCATGTCTATCGAAGGATTAAAGTTCAGGGTTATAAAAACAGAGTCCATCCTGTCTATTTTTCTGATTGAGTTTTTTTTAAACTAGAGATGTTGATACACACAAGAATGGACAAATATAGAAAATTCTTTCAAAATTTTTTTTTTTTGATAAAAAGGAGTATATGATTTATTTAAAAAATATATCTCGTCGAACTAAACCAGAACCCTTAATGAACGGTTATAGTTTCTCTGTCGTATTTTTATATACCTACATTTATGTATTAATATTGTGTAATGCCAATCAACCGATATAAATAAGGTTGATTGGATTATGGTAAAATTTAAATAGCACGTGATGCTTTTTAAAACAAAACTGTAGAAAAACATTATTATTAAAATTATGATGTAAATAATTTTTCTGGAATTATTTGAAATTGTGATGTATATAAATTATTTTTCTGGATTATTGAAATTGTGAGATTTTTTTTATATTCATGAAAATTGTGTTGTAAAATTAATTTTTCTGAATTATTTAAATTTGTGATGAACATTTGTATTTCGAAAGTTATTAATAAAAAATACATTTGTATTTTGAAAATTATTAATAAAAAATATTTTTAATTATCTGAAATCAATTCTAGATTCCAAAAAGAATAGTTTATAGATTGCAGATTAAGTATTGGAAGGGTTGAAAGTAAGGGTTTTTTTTAAGTTAGTTTTATAAATTTCAGATTAAGTATTCGAAGGGTTGAAAGTAAGAGATTTTTTAGTTTCATGAACCGTAACTTAACCCTTAAAGAAATATATAAAAGAATGAAGAATTTATTTATCTATTTTAAATGATTTAAGAATTTGAAATAATAATTCACTTTAGTTTATCTAAAAAAAATTTGCACAAATTTTTTATGTTGGTATATATTTCAGTTAATTTGTTTTTTTCTTTTCTCGTTTTATTATAAAATATAGAAATTCCACTTATTTTCTTTAATTTTTGCTTTGTTTTATTTTTTAAAGTTTAAAAAAATTATTAGATTTTTATGGTTCAAAAAATATATATGTAATATAATATTAGATATTCCTACGATTCCTTTTTATTTTAAATTATTCTTATTTAAATTTTTGATTCATCCTTTAAAACATAGCGTAATATTTTAATATATATTTTCTTATAAAAAAATATCTTACTTTGCATTATAATTTTGCATTTCCTTTAACTATATTTAGTTATAAATTATATTCAAGTTTTTATTTTGTTTCATTATTTAATTATTTTTAACTTAGAATTATTTTACCTTAATATATTATATTCAAGTTTTTATTTTGTTTCATTATTTAATTATTTTTAACTTAGAATTATTTTACCTTAATATATTATATTTTATTGTTCACATTTATTTTATCTTTAAAAATGTTAACAAATTTATATTTTTTATTCATATTTTACCTTTTTATATATTATATATCTTGATTTTGATGCAGGAAAATATTTTTATTTTGTTTTACGAAAATTATAATTACCTGAATGATATTTTAAATATAAGATAAATTAAATTAAATAACTTATACTTGTCCGCTGCTTCACTGCTATGATTAATTTAAAAAATCCAACTAAAAATCTCGAATGAATTAATATGATTTTAATCGGAATGAACTAATACAAATATAGAACAAAATCTTTTTAAAAATATAATTAGTATATAGAATTTTACTTCATAAAATTATTTTAAATAATTATCTCAAATTTCACGAGAATCATTTAAAATGTTTTGAATGACACTTTATAAATTTAAAATAATGCCTTGCGTGACAAAATGCATTAAGTATTTGTAAATATGATGTATATTCGGATAGAATAGGAATAAAATTCTAATTTTTTCTTTCTCTTTAGCTTTCACCTTTTCTGGTGGTAAGCTCCTTCAACATCTCTCTCCACTTTATGTTATTAATACAATCTCTTTTATCTAATTTATACTTGTTAAATAATATTAACTTTAAAAAATTATTTTTTTTTTATCCTTAAGCCATTTATGGCGTAACTTAAAATTTCTTTTTGTTAAAAACAACTTTTATATTTTAAATCAATTTGTTTGTAAACTAATATTTTATAAATCAGTTTCTTTCTTTTTGTTAAAAAAACAACTTTTATATTTTAAATCAAATTGTTTATAAACTAATATTAAAATTTTATATTTTATAAATCAATTTACTTAAACTAATGTTCAATTTTTTATTTTTAATTTTTTTAAAAAAGATCAATTTATATAAATTACATTGTCAATATATATAGCAAACTATTTTTGAATATATCATCAAAATTTTTTTTTAATCTAAATTTCAATAAACTTTTTAATACTTCTTTATATTGGTTCTAACTTTATGGCCACATTGAAGTTTTGGCCTTCCTCTTTTACGTTTGCCCATCACTTCCAAACTCTTAACTTTATTTCCTATGTAGTTCATAGGCCTTCTCATTGTGTGCCCATACCACCTAAGTCTGTTTACCATTAACGTAGTCTTAATGGGCACTACCTTTAAACTACTTAGTATTCTTGTACTGCGCACTTTATCCTTTCTTGTCCCAGCAATCATCCTCAGCATTCTCATCTCCATGGTTTGTAGACTTCTCTCGTCTGATTCTTTGGTTGGCCATGTTTCCGAACTATATAGAATAGTTGGTTGTTATGGAACTGTAAATTTTTCCCTTTAATTTGTGTGGGATTCTTTTATCAAATAGCACTCCTGATAAAAATCTCCACTTTAGCCACCCTTGATTAATCTTACTCTTTATCTCTTTTTCTATTGTGCCGTTTGTTTGTATAGTGGAACCCAAATATTTGCAGCTTTCAATTGCCGATATCTGCCATTCATTTATATCAATACTCTCTGTTTCATCTCCTCCTATCACCATATACTCCGTCTTTTCTCTATTTACTTTTAGTCCGTGCTTTTCTAGGATATTTATCCAACTCACTAGTCTTTCTTTCATTTCATCCTTAGATTCTAATTATTTTTATAAAATTCTAATTATTTTTATAAAATTCTAATTATTTTTATAAAATTCTAATTATTTTTATAAAATTCTAATTATTTTTATAAAATAATGCGTTCTATATTATATTCAGAGTTTGGAACTTCTATTAAAAAGGATTCCGATTTCGAATGTTTTAAAAAAATTAGTTCCGATTCTAGCTAAAGATTTTATTCCTGATTTTGATTCCGTTACCAAGTTCTATTAAGCAATCAAGAAATATTTAAGCAATAAATAAACTTTATAAAATAGACCATAACATTTTAAACAATATTTATAAATTACTTACACTTTTATTAGAACCGATTCCAGAACCGGTACCTGAAAATTTTAAAATAGGTTTTGATTCGGTTGTTCCGAATATGGTTATTATAAAATTTATAAAAGAAGGTTTCAGATTTTGGTTTATAAACCTATCCCCCTAGAGTTATATGTTCTAGTGCTAATTCCAAACTATGATTATAATATATTATAAAAAACTAAATAATGAAAAGGATGGCCGTGAAATAAATCAAAGATATAATTGTAATGTACAAACTGTAATAATAAAAATGGTAGTAAAAAAAACAAGCAATATACGTGGATTGCCTGCCCTAATAATATTTATAATCTTGCCCTAGAGGCCCACTTACTGAAAATGTAGCGGTGGTCATCTGATTGTCACTGACTGAAATTATATTTGATGATAATATTGGCGCTATCAACAGGAAATAACCACTCAAGAGATATAGGAGGGCTTGATTGAAAAAATATTGATTAGACAATCATGCAATTTTTATCATCTTAACTGATTAGTAGGGATATTCGTTACTACCGTCGATTTTGAATCAAATCAAATATAACTAACGAATTTCAAATACGAATATATTTAATCATTTTCGAATGGCTTTAAAATTCCATTAATTTAAATGCAGATGATTTTAGACATTACCCCTTTCTAATTTATTTAGCATATCATAAATTTATTATTTATGCTTAATTTTCTAATGTTGCAAAAAAATTTGACACATCCTTCCGAAGCCTAATGGAAAATTTTTTTAGGCCTAGTCTCAACCAACGGCACGCCTTTTTATGAATAGAACTGGGAAAATCTAACCCCATAAATATTAATTTTATTCTTTATTTTATGTTATGCCAGCAATAACCTTGATAATCTGTTATTTATCTATTTTATTTTACTATGAAAAGAAAATTAATACGAGATATTTCCTGTCTGTCTCCCATTTTTTTTCTTCTTTTCTTGTTTTTTAAATTTTATAACTTGTGATATTGAATCAGATGAAAAATGAAGAGACAAAATAACATATTTTTCGGATCTTGGGCAAGGCCAAAATTTAGGGTTAGACCAAGTCAAGTTAGGGGAGGGCGTATGACTTCATTTGTCTATCAGTTTATAATTTTCTTACCATTTAATATATAAAAATATGAATGGTTATATTATAATAGTAATTGATAATTACGTCATTTTAACATACGTGTTCATGAAAATAAAATGGATATTTAAACTCTTTTATTTTAGATTATTTAAAAAATTTATTTTGTTTTTTTACTAATACGAAAATTTTGCTGATGCTAAAAAAATTGTATTCATTTTTTTTAAACATATTAATTACTTGCTCGTTGATATATTGTGTTCATGTGATATCGTATATGAAAGAGAATAAATAGAAATTATACACGTTTATACAGTAAAACCTTTTTTTGTTGTTGATGTAATAAATGAGCCCTAGGCTAATGGGTGGTGGGAGGTTTGGCCAGGGTAATAGAATAAAAATATGATTTAATTTTTTAAAATAATTTTATTTATATTTTTATTATATTAAAAATGCTTATTTGTCAATATAATAACTAAAATATATTGTGCGTTCATGTAATATTGATTTGATATCGTTAACGAAGGGAACAAATAAAAATTATACACGTGTAATAGGTATACTAAATTAAAAAAAAAATATATATACTTATAATTAAAATTTATAACTTTTTTGTTAGGAAGATTAAATTTCTATGAACCCAACCATGATATTTAAAGTTCAATTAGTTTTTCTCCTGGTGTTGTTGGGTCATGAATTCACGGATGCAAGTGAGTACAATTTATATAATTAATGACAGGTTTCGTTTGTTACAATTATGCTATAAAATGTTTTGCAAAAATATAGAATACTTTAGGCGATCAAATATAAGTTAAAAAATGTCTTTAAAATGAGTCAAAAAAAATCAATTTGAAGTGTTTATTTTTAAATTCAGGCGTCAATCGGCAAAAAACAGTATTATGTTGTTGCTTGATATATTATACAAATATTAACGCTATTCATAACAAAGACCGCCAATTTTTTTCCCAATTTAGACATTAAGAACTGATATTTTGTTTTTTGAAGCATTCATTGTGTCTCTACACATTTTAATCGATAATCTTGGGTTTTGAACCCATTGTTAAACAAATAGTTAGAACTTAAATCATTAAAAGCGTTTTTTAAATACTGAAACACATGATCTCGGAATCGAGTTCCAACATAGATAAAGTACATACCCTGTAAATATAAAAAATTACTATTAAATTTTGAACTACCCTTAATTTATACTAATTTTTAAATTGGATTTTTCTTATATAATAAAAAGAATAGGGAAAATTTTATGGCGTTGTCTGAAATTCACAGAGTATTTGATCTATATACTGGAATCAATCAAGTTTTTCATATTAACAAAAATCTTAGCTGCAGATGATTTTGGCATTTTTTTTAAATTTTCTAAAAACTTCTGAATTGGCTGAACCCCTGCTTGATATGCATTATGACCTATTAGCATAGTCTTTGTAAATTATGTTTGCTAGATATCAATCTTCCAACTCTCTCGTTCTTTATATGTTTGTTAATTTTTTGGTTTAAAATACAAAGCATAACCTTCATAACGAGGCACTGGAGAGTGATATTGATTTATCAAAGATATATCATTGCTATTGTAGAAAAAAGTTGATTTGTAAACAATCCTTTTAAAAATTGTTACAAAAACGAAATAATTGATTATTTTTTTATTTTTTATTCATAATTTCAAAATTATTTAGTAACGTGTAATGAAGGTAAAACTCTTGAAATTTAGATAATTTTTTTAAAACTTTTATAATTTTATTTTTGTAGATACTCCTGGTAAAGGTAGGTACAAATTATAAAAATTAATATATTTTTCCTTAAAAATAAATATTGCCAACTATAGCGATTTAAGCCGATTTTTAAAAACGTCTTTTATTAAGAGCCTAAAGATAAAAAATAATATTGTAAACAGAAGATGTTATCAATAGAAGATCTTTTATTGATAAAATTATGTCACCAAAATAAAAATTGGAATGCAGAAGGATTAATTTGTGAATTATAGGAAAAGGTGGAATATTGGTGAGAGTCAGACGAGTTCCAAAGCAACTTTTTATTATCCATATTCCAAAAAAAGAAGCGATTAACCTATATCCACCAAGACTATCGAATATTCCATATGTTAAAGAAAATTTTTGATAAAGTAATGAACCGGGTATATACTTACCAACCAAATTTTGTCTAGATAGGTATTGCATATTTATAAGTGCTCAACGTATTCAATTCCTAGTTAAAATCATATACAGGGTTTCGAAAAGTACCAATCAGAAATGGAAAAGTGTAAATCATAAAGGGAAAAAGTCCAATCAAAAAAGGAAAAGGGTCAATCAAAAAGGGAAAAGGGTCAATCAAAAAGGGAAAAGTGTTAATCAAAAAAGGAAAGGAGTCAAACAAAAAAGGAGGTTTAATCAAAAAAGGAAAAGTATCAAATGAAAAATGAAAAGGTCCAACCAAAAAAGGAAAATTCCCAAAAGGAAAAGAATAGTGTCAATCAAAAAAGGAAAATTCCTATTCATAAAAGAAAAATCGTTATTTCCTTCTTATTTTATTTCTAACCTTTTGCTATTTTTTAAAGTCATTCTTAATCTTTATTTTTCTTATCTTTTCTCAATTTATTTTTCATCACATTTTTGATAATTCTTTTCTGTCTTTTTAAAAAAAATTTATAAATTTTTCCTGTAATTTTTCTTCACTTCTCTACTCCATTTTTTATGTCATTTTTTAACAATTCTTTCCTCTTTTTTTCCATCCTACATAACAATTTTTAGACTTTTTATGATTTTTTACTCCATATATTTTTATCTTTTTAACTTCAATTAATTTTTATTTCTCTTTTGCAATTAAATCTTTTTATTAATATTTTTTGAATATCAAGTTATTTCATTACAATTACTATGTATATATGTCGTAATTTTTAAAGTGATCGGAACTATCTGGGATCATCATGGGAATTAAAGGGATCCCTTTAAGAATTCAATTTTTTAAAGAATATTAATCGATAGCTAATCGAAAGATCTATTTAACTGGAAATAAATCTCTCCCCCTTAATTGGCAAGTTTAGGTCTGGTGGGTCAGGAATATTTTTATTAAAACAAAATATCGATGGGTATCAAATAAAAGATAATTTAAATATCTTTTGACTCATTTGTTATATTCGTGTACTTTGTACTTTAATTTGCATAAAGAATTCTTTTGGATTTAGTATGATAACGCGTGATAAAGTTATATTCGTGAACTTTGTACTTTAATTTGCATAAAGAATTCTTTTGGATTTATTATTATAACGCGCGATAAAAATATTAATTTGAATAGTTACGAATATTAGTGATAAGGAAGATTGAAAAGAGTATAAAAGGGCCAATTTTTACCATACTAAGGGATCTTTTAATAATTATGATTTACGAACTTAATTTTTTTTAATTTTTAATTTTAATTTTTTTTATATTATTTTAATTTCTTATTATAGTTATAATTATGTAATTAGTATTGATATTAATTAATAAAATATTCGTAATTAATTTATTTATACTATTTATTTTATTATCTAAATTCTCTCAACCACTATATTTGTGGGCCGAGACATTATGTTCTATGACGCATTCAGTCTACTTAAAATACTAAAATTTTACAATAGTTCGAATCTCCCAATCCTAAATTCTACAAACTTCTACAGTATTCATTCTTGGTATATGGGTAGGAGAGAGGCGAATGGAGGGGGGGGGGTTGTGATAAAGTAAAAAAATATTCATGACCCCCCCCCCCCCCCAAAGACTTTGACCAGCCCACTTAGAGTGATAATAAAAAAAATTTGATTGCAAAAGATAGTTTAAAAGATAAAATATAAGGAAAAAAATCATAAAACAATAAATTGTTATGTAGGATGAAAAAAGAGGAAAGAATTGTTGAAAAATGACATAAAAATGGAGTATAGAAATAAGAGAGAAGATTTATAAAATATTTTTAAAAAGACAAAAATGAATTTTCAAAAATAAAATAAATTGAGAAAAGATAAGAAAAATAAAGAATAAAAATTTTAAAAAATTGACAAGAAAATTTTTTTATAAATAACGATTTTCTTTTTTTGAAGGAGAATTTTACTTTTCCTTTCCTTTTGGGAATTTTTCCTTTTATCGACACTCTTTTCCTTTTTTGATTGAACCTTTTCCTTTTTTGTTAACACTTTTTCTTTATTGATCGGATCTTTTCCTTTTATGATTGACACTTTTCTGATTACTTATCCCCTTTTTTGGATGGAAAACCCTGTAAACACTTAGATACATACGTTCAATTTAACCATTGCGCCTAAAAAAAGATGACCCCATGTAAAAATTTATGTCAAAAATAGTGAATTGGGTGTTAGATTGATGGTGTTTCATGGTTATACCAATTTCTCTTTGTCTATTTTAGAAACCCAATTTATTCTATGTCATTAAAATAATATCTCCCCTTTTCGGCTTTATCACGAAAGATCCCTGTTCCTCAGAAATAGATGGCTACCAAAGAAAAAAAGACCTTTTTTCAATCCGCAATGATAAAGATAAAGTTCTGATGTTTATATAATCGCCTGAAATAATATTTACCATACTGCCAAAGCCTTATTTGCCAATTAAATATGACCTTTTATGTAAGACAACGCTCCTTTGCACTTTGCATAGCGTTTTAATATTTAAGATTTATAAAATATATCCAATACCTCCCCCCTCCCCTCTTCCTTCTAATTGAAATCCTCTAAATCAATATGTGTGGAAACATTAAAGACTTTTGTTTATAAAAATAAGCCACGACTTTCTGGATCTTTAGACGGACTTGAAATAAAAGGGAAGTGTGGTCCTTAATTTTGCAATAAAAAATCAATTTGGTATTCGATCAGTCAAAGATGAGATAATTAACTGGTGCACAAGAAATAAGGACTAATCCAAGATAAGAGATAAGATATACTTCGTTAATTATATTTATGTAATTTGGAAATAAAATATAATAAATTTTAAAAAAGGCGAGCGTCTCATCATCTAGCCCTTTTTTAAAAAAAAATTTCGAGGTTTGAGTTTTTTCTTATCAAATTTTATCATTTTTGATCTCAAATTTCTAAAATACGGCATAATCAAATTCTAAAAAATGATATGAACTTTTTAATAAAATTGGAAATCTCATTAAAATCATGTTATAAGATTTATAAACGCGACATTATTTTTCTCGTCACCCATATATATTAATTATTGAGGCTATGAAATCTATATGATTTTGATAGTAAGCCTCGACCTTTACCAATATTAGTGTTGACTCGATTAAAAATTAGTCTAAAATTCTTCATCTTCCTTTTAAATACATTATTTGATTCAAGAATTTATCATCTAATGGCTCTATCTAATTTGACAATATTATTTCTTCTCGATCCTTTTGAAAATATATTGTATCTTGATATTGAAAAAGTTGAATATTTATTTACACCATTTTGATTCATAGGATATTAGATTTCATAATTTGAATCTTGGTATATAATAGGAGAGATTATTAGAAAAATTGAGAAAAACTCTAAATATATGATCGGGTTCTTGTTAAAATAAAAGTTTAAGAAATGGGCCTAAAAGACGAGATATTTTAAATTATTGTAATTTGGCTATCCGGGACATATCTCAAAATTTAATTGTAATAGAAGAATTCATAAACTGAGTCATTTATTTTTATGATGAAATAAAAGCATTCGTTTATTATTTCAAAT